ATCCATGGCTAGACAATTTCATTAAAAATGTTTTATCTTGCATGTAATTACTTTCTCAAGCTATAATTTTTATGTTAGCCTAGTTTGATGACCTCCTTAGTTTGGTAACTTATCTCTTTTGATTTATCTACTTCTAGGACTAATAGTAAAATTACTTTACTCTAAGAATAATTATATTACATAAAATTGTTTTCTATTAAATTCTTTTGTATAATCAAACTAACTTAATGCAGTTCTTATCCATGGGAATGTTTATTTTCCTCTTTACCATCTTCTTCAAAAGCATATTAATCAATTTCTACATTGGCATTTCTGAGCACATTATACAATGTAGCACAAGCAATAACTATTCGTGTATCATTCTCTGGTTTGTACTGTAGTGTTCTTTCCTTTAAAAGATATTTAAATTTTCCGTTTAATGCTTCGATACATCGGTCGATACAATTTTTTGCTAAGTATATGGCTTGTGTAAACCTACCTTCTGGTATACTCTCTTTTCTGCATTTAAAATGGGTTCTAACAAGAAAGGCTGTATTGGGTAATCAGAATCCCCAAGTAACCATGAATTTATTTCACCATTGCAATATCGACGCTTCAGTTCGATAAAAATATTACTCATTAACCAAAAGGCAGAATCGTGTGCACTTTTAGGATGCCTGGCACAAATTCCAAGTATTTTTAAATTTGAGTCACAAATTATTTGGCAATTTAGGGTTTAACAATTTTTTTCTATAAAAAAAAAACAGCTCTCAGTGGGTTTTTCTTACACTTAGGTGCTACTATGGAAATGTGAGTTCCATCTGTGATGCCAATTATCCCCGAAAAGTTATATTTAAAAAAAAACGATTTTTACGTTTGTAATTTCATCTAAGGTTCTCGGGAAGTTAACGAGTCTTCTTAAAAAATATACAACAATTAAATTAGTCACTTCTTGTATGTCTCTGGTTGAGACATGTAACAGTGTATCAATTCCCACTGATCTTTGGTAACTGCTTTATGCATAGAAGTGTAAGCAAACTAACATTCTAAGGGTCTTTGGTAATTTGCTTGCTCGAGTTCCATTCAAGCAAGGGGTATATTTCCAAGAATGACTGATGAGGAAAGCGATACAGTTTAAAAATGGTTTGAGGACTCGAAAAAGCGTTTTTAAAAATTATTTATTTTTATTAAAGAACAATATTTTATGCGACTACTACAATTAGAGGTTTAAGAGTGATTATAAATATTAAATATATATTAACAAGGAAACAAGCAATCTACAAAAGTCCTGATTCGACGTTATTAGATATCTAGTAGCTGGCTTGGCAGTATTCCTAAAATTACGTAACTGTCTTCTGAATGATTCATCTGCTATTGTAATTACTGACATCTTTTAATTGCCTTGACGCTATATTGTAGGCATGTCTATAAAACTAAGTAAAAATGTATATTATTAACTTTACTACCACGTAGGTAGTTTTGCAGATTTTTTATTATATCCGATTCTATTTTATCTGACGGACATACAAAAATCGAAGATATTATTAAGTAAACAAACATTTAATAGAATATATTGTCTGGAAATAGAAGGACCAGTTAACGATCAAACGACAGCATTTACCAGTATCGTTGCCAACGACGCTAACCTAACGTAACCTCATAGTCGTTATGAAAGGATATTGTTACGATTTACAATAATACGATAATCGTTTCACAACGATGTCGTTACGAGTTACAGAATAAGAGAGTTAATCATTTAAAATTTTTCATATTCCTCATATCAATTATACGTTTCTTTTGTTTTATTAAATGAAAGTTATTCTATGAGATGTATAACTTCACACCTTGAGACACAAGAGAAGATCACATGCTTCATATAGAGAATTTTCAAGTAATTAAAAATGCTTAGTGAGAATATTTAGAAATATTAAATAAATTAAACACAACGTAGATGTAATATCGTTTTTTTAACAATTTATTTTAAATTATTAATTCACGAAAAAAGGGTAAAGTTTTATGAAGTTAGTAAAAGAGAAATTAGGTAATACAAAATTATAAAAGCAATAAAATTCATTTACAGTTTTTTTTTTATATAGGATAAATGTCTACTGGTACTAAAGATTTTCTAACATTGTCTATATAGAAACAACCAAAGACATAATTCTACTAAAACTGACGATCAGAGCAAGAACAATATGAAATTTTTATGAGGCGATGCGCAGTTGTCGCTGGCCAAAAACAAAATGGAAAACAAAATTCAATCAGTGACACAATTGATACAGCCTACCTTTACAAAAACCATAAAGTAAATTTCACAAATTTCACTACTGTTGATAAGTAAAAACTCCTGATGATTATAATAATAACATTTATTTCCAATTAAGTTACACGTTTCCAGATACGCATATATATAAAATGAACAGAAAAAAATATAATATATATAGTGATGTCAACACGTTTTTTTTTGTCTATTTTATTTTGTATTGAGTAACCTACATTTTTATTTTGAATATTTTCAACATTTTAATTCAAATCAAAAATTAAAATCAATCATTATAAATAAAACATAAATTAAACATTATAAATTAAATATTTAAAATTAAATACTTCAAAGAAAATATTTTAAATTAAACGCTTTAAATTAAATAATTCAAATTAAACACTGTTAATAAAATATCAAAATTTAAACACTTTGAAGTAAATATTTTAAATATTCTAAATCAAAGACTCTAAATTACATATTTTAAATTGGATATTTTAGATTAAATATAATAAAATACAATATATTTGAATATATCACTGTAATACGAAGTGCAGAAGAAATAAGTGAGGTACGTATTTTATTTTTTATTCTCTTGGTAGTTGCAATATCCATTCTTTTAGTTTTATTTTAAATATATTATTTTTTAAATTTTTCTCTATGTATATCGCTAAATCATCTAAAAATTGGTAAATATTTATATTATGACAACGCTAAAAAGCACTGACGGAAACTGTTTGTTCTCCAATTTTTATCACAATGTCTATTGTATTTATTTTCCTAACATTATGTTTCACTTTGTTGTATACAATTTCTATATGTTTTTTATATATATATTATTACCCCATTATTTTGGTTTATTTGACTATCATTATAGTGAGAGAAGAAACCATCTATTTTAAAGAAATTTAGATCTTAAAAGACTATATTAAACTTAAATTCAAATTTATTTAGTAAGATCAATACTTTATTAAAATTTGCATTTACGCTTCTTATATTACAGTAATACATAGAAAATACATTTTTATTTTTTATTTAAAGAAAATATTCATAAGCACTATCTATATAATTACATTTGCTTTTTTCTTCAATAAAATTAATAATATAATCATCCATTTTTGATGGTGTTGCATATACTAAAAAAATAAGTAATTGAAAATTGTAAAATAAGTATTTTACATTCTTTTAGCAATAATAATTAACATTATTGATACCATATAACATATTAAAATGAAATCAAATATATTTTTACAATTTTACTTTATTCAAATTTAACAAAAAACAAAGGTAATTGAAAAAAGAAATGAAAAATAAAAATAATTGTTAACTTTGTATTTTCAATATTGTTTGTTTCGAGTTTGTGGTCCGTTCACACTCGTGCGCAAATTACTTCTCTCTGTTCATTTATTTTTTTGTTTGAGAGTTGAAAATATTTTCGTTATTTTCTCCTGCCAATTTAAGTTCTTCAAGATTGTATTTTTTCTTCTTCTACAAAAAGTTCTTTATCTCTAATATTAGCTTCTAGTTTTTTAGATCTAGCAATTTTTAAAAACCTTAAAAATAATTTTTGATTTTCTCTATCAGTTTTGTTTAAATCTTATGCTAAAAATATATTGGTGCCTTTGAATTTTGAACTGGACTTTATTATCATTTCCTTTCAAAAGGAAAGACTTGTATTTCGTGCAAAACTTTTTAAATAATAAATGCAAAGCGCTTTCGGCTTATTTGCCATCACCAATGCTTATTGTCCACAAACGTATCCAACAAGTTCCTGGTCATCCTCACTCCCGAAATTAGATATTTCAGGATATTTACAACTTGCTAAATCATAATTATTACTATTAGTAATAGTATGCTGCTTTGACTTTTTTGGGTTGCTTTTCGACTTTTCTGGTTTGTTTTACTGTTTGTGTTTACTTATCGAAATAGTTCTGCTTTAAGTAAATCCACTGGGAATATTGTACTCTTTAAAATAAGGTTTGGCATTTTTACAATTATTGCATTTACGTAAAAGGCAAATTCAACTTTATTTATGTACAGACTTTGAACAATTAATTATATATTAGCATGAATAATACATTTGCAAGTCTCTTTATTCGGAAACTCTCATTAGCTTAATGAATGTTTTCTTTTATGTCATCTGGGTTACTCGCGAGCAGTACCAGAGCTGCTCCTGACTCTAATTGACCGTTCTTTTTAACGGGGCTTGTTGATCTGGAGCAACTCCCACATGTTCTCTTCTCCCCTCAAGCACATTGTCACTTGTCTTGTCAATTGTCATTGGGTTATCGGTTTAATGTCAGATAGATTTTATATATCTTTTATATATTATAATAACGAGGTTTTTCGCTGACTTAAGATTAAAATGAATACAAAAAATAGATTTATTGAACTTAATGATCTACAACTAAATAAAAAATACCGTCTACTTGTTTCTAATGAAGATTTCGACAGAGCATCCATAGGTAATGAATTAAAATTTAATAAATGTATACATACTGTGCATAAATTTATATTTCAGATGAAGAATTTGCCAGGTCCCTAATAAATCATTGTAGGGTAACTTCAAAAATGCCATTCAATTCACCAATGGTTGAAAATACTGATGCCCAATCATCTACTTCTGTGGCAAATCAAGTACAATTAGCATCTTCGGAAAAGTGCATTTGGTCATATAATAAAACTATGGCACTTATAGAATCCATGGAATCACATTATGCTTCATCTAATGACCCAAGGCAACGAAAACATATCTTTGAAGGTATAACAAATGATTTAAATAGTTCTGGTTTTACTACGTCTGTAAATGCAATCCAAAACAAATGGAAAAGTCTTATGCGTAGCTACACAAAATGCAAGGATAACAGAAATCGTACTGGTCAAGGTCCCTCCCGTTTTTTATTTTATGAAAGAATATACGATTTTGTTGGTGATAAACCACAAAATGAGTGTAGCCACTCAATAAACAGTTTGGAAGATAGCGAATCAGATGTTACAGTAGAAAATATTGAGGACGAAGAAAACATACAACCAGAAAGTATAAATAAAAATACAGAGCCAGGCATCACTGAAAATGCAGATGGGAATATGCAAGAAAAACATACAAATTCACAGGGCCATCATAAGAAGAGACTGAGTGAAAAACAAATCAAAAAAGAATATTTTAAAATAAAGAAAGAGGAATACAAAAAAAAGGCAAATTAGACATGAGGAGAAAATGCAAGTTGAAAAACGAAAATTAGATTTGTTGGAAATATTTATTCAAGACAAAAAAAATAAGCCATCCTAAAACCCTTGACATATTAATGTGTCATTTTGTACAAATCAGAATTTTCTGTTTTTAAATTTTTTGATTGTATTTGTGATTTTGTTTGTTTTTTGTGTTTTTTGTTTGTTTTTTTGTGATTTTTTGTTAAATAAATTTTTTTAATATCTAGTTGTTTCATAAATAGGTACATATATTGCAACTGGAAAATATAGAATTTCGTACTGCAAAAACATTCATTTATCTTCTTTTATTTAACTCTTTTAAGACCACTGCTGATCGCACTAATGAACCTGTCAGACTGCAGCCATGCTTCTGTGGATTTGTAGTTTCGGTCTTAAACCTGTCACAAAAGTTTTGTTGTTTCTTACGGCTAATGGAGTAATGCTCACATCAGGTTTTGAAGATCGATGGAAGGTCCATATGGTGTGATGTGTTGGGCCGTGGAAACTTTTTCTTGGTTTTCCTTGGTAATAGTAAATGTCCTGGTTTCAATGGTGTCCTGAAGGTTTCTTTTCCAATGGTCTTGTTTCTGTGGTTTGAAAACTTAAAAAAAATTTTAGTTCGAAATTATCTCAAAAATAAATTATTTGTCCTTACAAAGGTTTAGGTCTCGAAGATCGTCGTCCATGATATCCTGTGTTTGGCTGTGCGAACTTTCTTTTCGGTTTCCTTTGTATTAGTAGTTGTACTGGTTTCAATTGAGTCCTGAAGGTTTCTTGTTTGATGATCTCGTTTCAGCGGTCTGAAAACAAAAAAAAAAATGTTAGTAACTATCAGAAAAATAAATTATTTGTCCTTCAAAGGTTTAGTTATTTGTTTCTTTTAAGTAATGGAGTAGTGATCAGCAGGTGAGTCAGTAGGTCTTGAAGATCGATGAAAGGTCCAAGATGTCCTATTTTTGATTGAGAGAACTCTGTTTTCGGTTTCCTGAAAGTTTCTTATACAGTGATCTTGTTTTTATGGCCTGAAAAGTTGATAAAATTGTTAGTTGAAAACTACATCAATAATAAATCAGTTGTCTTTACAAAGGTATTGTTATTTGATTCTTTTGACTAATGGAGTTCTGCTTAGAAGGTCTTGAAAATCTATGGAGGTCCAAGGTGTCCTGTGTGTAGCTGTGGGAACTCCCTTTCTGATTTCATTCATATTAGTAGTTGAACTGGTTTCAATTGAGTAGAGAGGGGTTCTTTTGCGATGGTCTTGTTTATGTGGCCTGAAAGCTAAAAAACAAAATGTTAGTACTATATCAAAATAAATTATTTGTCCTTACAAAAGTTTAGTTATTCGTTTTTTTTTACTAGTCGAGTACCAAGCAGTAGGTCTCCAAGATCGTCCATGATATCCTGTGTTTGACTGTGGTAACTTCCTTTTCGGTTTCCTTTGTATTAGTGGTTGTACTGGTTTCAATTGAGTCCTGAAGGTTCCTTATCCGATGGTCTTGTTTCCGTGGTCTGAAAACTTAAAAAAAATTTTTTAGTAACTAGCTTAAAAATAAATTATTTGTCCTTACAAAGGTTTAGTTATTTGTTTCTTTTAAGCAATGGAGTACTGATCAGCAGATGAGTTAGCAGGTCTTGAAGATCGATCAAAGGTCCAGGTGTCCTATTTTTGATTGAGGGAACTCCGTTTTTAGTTTCCTGAATGTTTCTTGTTTTTATGGCCTGAAAACTTGATAAAATTATTTGTTGAAAACTACATCAATAATAAATCATTTTTAAGGTTTTGTTATTTGATTTTTTTGACTAATGGAGTACTGCTTAGGATGTCTTTAAAATCTATATAGGTCTAAGGTGTCAATTGGTTTCAATTGAGTCCCGAAGGTTTCTTTTATCTCGTTTATGTGACATGAAAAAATTATTAGTAACTATCTTAAAAATAAATTATTTGTCCTTACCAAAGGTTTATTTATTTTTTTAAGCAATAGAACTCTATTCCAATCCAAAAATCAGCAGGTCTTAAAGATCGATGAAAGGTCCAAGGTGTCCCGTTTTTGATTCTGGGAACTCCGTTTTAGGTTTCCTTAATTGTACAGTGATCTTGAAGATCAAAGGGCGGTCCATGATGTCCTGGTTTAAATTGAGTCTTGAGAGTTTCTGGTCCAATGGATTTGTTTGTCTAAACATTTAAAAGAATAATTATTAGTTGATTAGCTCAATAACAAATAATAACTATTTACCAAGATTCAGTTATGTATTGATAATAATGGCTAATTGATTGCTGTCTAGTACTTCATGAAGGTTGTCTGGGATGTCATTGAGGTCCGTTTTTGTCTGTAAGAATTTCTTGTACTCTTGGTATTAGTGACTATCCTGGTTTCAATTAAATTTTCATATCCGGTTTGTAAAAGGCGTACAAGAGAGATTAAAAAGAGATTTGATGGCTTCATATAGAAAAGGCATCGCTACGAAATGTGTACAAATGGTTTTTGATATTTGGGAAGAAGCAAAAACTTACGTAAAAACGGCGACAGAATATATCATTGAATTCCAAGTGATAGTTGATAAACATATTGAGTTGAAATTAAAAGAAGTTTAGTATGCAGTTAATGTGGCATTATTCAGTAATTTGATGTAAGGCTTAAACAATTGTTAGATGTTAGAGAAAAAGGCCAATAATTAAAGGCAATTTCTGAACTACTGAGCATTTAAGAAAATAAATAACGTTACTGAGATGAGGATTTGGCAAGACTACTCAAATTTAAAATTTTAATATTTTCTACAGTTTAGGATAAAAATTCAGTGAAAACTGACTTACATGGTTATTGCAAAAATAGAGAAGATGAAAAAACCACACCACGAAAGCAATGGTCGCATGTTGAGGATACAATTAGGAAGTCCAAGAAAATGTATGAATGGCAATTCAAATGCTTGAAAAGAGTATGTATACCAGTTAGAGAGGACATAACCTTTTTGGATTTCTGATTGCTAAATTTCTTGGATGTCTGGCATCTATAATTTCTGGTAGTAAACAGTTTAAGTAAAAAACTGTTAATGGTCCTTTCATATTCATATTCCAGAAGTTATCATCCCGATCAATCTAAAAAAAAAATAAATAATAATATCAATATTGAATTGAGAATTTATTTCAAAAACATTTTTAAAGAGGATCTAAAAGTTAATATATTAACGATTTACTTGTCTATTTGTTTTTTGATATGAATTATTTTAATTCCTATTTAATAAAAAAAAAATAATAATAATTTAGCTTTTAATTACCTCTTCAACTAACATTCCTTCTTTGGACCAAACTATAAAATAGCAAATTTTTCGTTTGGCGATTTGCAATTGCCCCTGGACCTGGTAAAAATAATTGTGATTTCTTTTTAATTTCAATTTGTTATTTTCGTCCACTGTTGCAAATGTATTTTTTTTCCTGCTTATTGCTTCAAGTGGATGAATCCCACAAGAATTAAAGGGGCATTTAACTTCTACCAAAGCATCTTGTCCGATTAAACCATCAGGACTTGCTCCTAGGAAACCAAATTCTTTGTCAATTATCAAGCCACATTTTTCAATCTTCAGATTGTAACCTTTTTCAAACTGAAGTAAAGCATAGGGTTCATGGTCAATTCCATACTTTGTTTTATGATTGCCTGAAAATATATTCATTTGAAATATATAACATTAAAAAATTTATAATTATTAAAATAAATACAAAAAATGTCTTGAATAACTTAAATACAACTTGTATATCTTTTTATAGGCTTACCTAAAAATTGTTTGTATAGTATATCGTTTACTATATTTTCACAAGAAGTTGTTAGCCTCATTTTACATACTCGACCAAAGTATGAAGCTGTTAACCGATGCGCTCGTTCCTCCAACCATTTACAGTTTGTGCTCTGACCTCGAGTTTCCACCTCTAATTTTACGATTTCTTCTTCCTTCAATTGTAGTTTTATTAATATTTCTTTCTTTTTTTCCAGTAGAATTTGTTCATCCATATCTGGATCTGGATTTGATTTTGGACCATAATCTTGATCAGCAGGTTCAATCTTTTTCGGTTTCCTATATTTATGTTTCATATAATCTTTAAAATAAAGCCTTTTTTTGTTTATTTTGAGACTGTGTTTTCGTTTTAGGTTACTTGTTTTTTTGTGGGTTATTGCTTCTTCCATAATATTATAATAATCTTGGGTGTTAAAACTAATAGCAGCTGCTTCGCATCTCTTATATTGTAGGAACCTCTTCTGGAAAAATTCACTCTTTTGCCGCCAACAAATTTACAGACAACACTATTATATAGCTCCGCTCGATTAGTATCCATATTTAAAAGCAAGCTAGCCGCATTTAATACTAGTCGATTCATGCAAATATTTATATCTTCATAGAGGCAGCAGGCTTTACCCTCAGGAAGATGATTTACTGTCTGGTTTGTACATGTTAAATATTTTAATTCTTTGCATTCTTCATGATCTCCAAAGATATATTTCACAGAATTATTTAGATCTTTTGTAAGATCCACAGTTTTTTTAGCAATATCAGTATTTTCACTTATTCTAAATGCAATAGCTTTTGTAACACACTTTCTTATTTTAACGATATTATTTTCAATCATTTTTCTTAGTTTCGGTGCCACGGGACAATTTGAGGAATTACTGCGCTTCTTGCCTGCAACAAAAAAATATTTACTAATTAATAATATAATATAAAATAATAATAATAATTTGTTTTTATATATTATAAACTTACCGCACATTTCCCTTAGTCTCTTACAAAAGTTTCTCAGTAGATGGTTCCTACATTCGATTTTTTTGACTAATGTAGTGCCGTATGGTCTACTCTCCAGTAGTTTTTTATAGACACTACTATCTCCGTCCCCTACTAATTTCAGGTATTTAATACCATGCATATTTGTACTTTGTCTGAATCCTTCCACTATAATATCGCTCTCCATACTGGTGGAAGAATTTTTCCAGTTTTTAAAACATTTATGG